TGGTCCATGGGGTCGCGAAGAGTCGGACTCGACTGTGCGACTGAACAACAAAAGCAGCAGAAAAGAGCAAGAGTCCAGGAGCACCTGAAAGACTCACAAAACTTGTGACAGGCTATGAGCTTCTGTGAGTCACTGCTCACTTCTTCAGGTACAACTAGAATCGGAGTCCATTTGTCTGAAATCACCCCACTTTCCAAGACATAAGGACAGATGGACTCATAGTCTAGCAGGAGAAAAGAGCAAGAGTCCAGGAGCACCTGAAAGACTCACAAAACATGTGGCAGGGCCAGGGGTCATGTCGTAGAAAAAGAGGTGCAGGAGCTCATTAGCATAACTCATTAGCATAACTTATTTGCATATGCCACACCCCCTGACATCACCGGAAGTGTGTCAGAAAGCAACACCCACCGCTCAGGCTCCACTGGACTGTTTTGGATTGCTAGCTATTGGGGGAGGGTGGGACATGTAGATCTGTCCTCGCAGAGGAGGGAGAGCTTGTACCTGAATAAAACTTGGTCTTAAAGGTGCCACTGGACTGTTTCGGACCAGGGGGCCTCTGCAGCTTACCTGGCTGCTTCTTGCTCTGACTGAGGGCTGCTGGGAGCAGGGGGTGGGGCTTGTTGCATGTGCCCGCCCCCTGGGCTCTTTACTGCCGGAGCTCCCCTCTTGGACTGAATCGAGACCTTAGGTTTCCCATCTCGTTACCAATGCTGATTTCTCCACACCTAGTACCCCGCTGCAGATCACACCTAATCCAATCACGCCTGCAATTGTCATTGGCTTACTATTCCCATTCAGCATCTGAAATCACCGCACTCTCCAAGATATAAGGACAGATGGACTCATATTCTAGCAGTGGAAAAGAGCAAGAGTCCAGGAGCACCTCAAAGACTAACAACATTTGTGGCACAGCAGGAGCTCTCATGAGTCACTGCTTGGTTCTTCAGGTACAGCTAGGCTGAGACTCTCCCCTGAACAGTGTGTCTGCCAGCTACACCTGGACTTTGGAAGGGCTTTTGACAAGAGGTTGTAGGTCCTCTTAAAGGGGAGCGGAGGATAGGACTGGCAATGAATCGTGTACAGTTGGAGAGTATATTTTCATAAGAACATCAGAAGAGCCCTGCTGGACCTCTGCTCTTAAGAACATAAGAGAAGCCATGTTGGATCAGGCCCATCCAGTCCAACACTCTGTGTTACACAGGGGCCAAAAAATACCAGGTGCCGTCAGGAGGTCCACCAGTGGGGCCAGGACACTAGAAGCCCTCCCACTGTTGACCCCCCCTCCCCCAAGCACCAAGAATACAGAGCATCACTTGCCCCAGACTGAGACTTCCTACCTATAAAGGTAAAGGTTCCCTTGCTCAAAAGCCAGTCGAGTCCGACTCTAGGGTTGCGGTGCTCATCTCCGTTTCAAAGCCGAAGAGCCAGCGCTGTCCGAAGACGTTTCCGTGGTCATGTGGCCGGCATGACTAAACACCAAGGCGCACGGAACGCTGTTACCTTCCCACCGAAGTGGTACCTATTTATCTACTTGCAATTTCTTGCTTTCGAACTGCTAGGTTGGCAGGAGCTGGAACTAGAGATGGGAGCTCACTCCGTCATGCGGCACCCGGGTCTCGAACTGCTGAACTACCGACCTTCCACAGCCTGCAGTTCAGCGTCTTAACCCCTTGAGCCAC